AAATAAATGTCAAGTAAAAAATAGTACAATTGAACAAAAGAATTAGAGAAATAACAGAGCAATTAGTAAAAATTAGTCATAAGATGAGTGGAAGTGAAAATATTGGAATAACTAATTTACCTAGATATTTAACATACATTATTGAAACATGTGTTCCATTTCTTGAAAGTATTACTTGTTTTCCATTAATGGAACATCCAAAACAAACAAAAATGAAAGAACTTGCAAAAAAACGAACTGAACAAATTGAAGAAATTAATAAAATACTTCAAAAATACCTAACAATTCCACATGAAATTGAACAAAAGTTTACTCCAGAACAAATGGTTATATCTAGAATGATTAAACAAGGTATGAATCAAAGTATAATTATTTCATGTAAAAGTATTAATGACTTACGAAGAGAATTAAATATATTTGAAAGAAGAACTCTTGAAAAAGGAAGAATCCAAACCGAATTAAAAAAGTTAAATGAAGAAATTATCACTGAAGATGATGACTCTATTAATTCATTTCATTCTGATGAACAACACACTGAAGAAAAAAAACCAAAATTCTCTTCTTTTGACTAAATTATTTTTTATTTATTCTTATTTTATTAAGGCACTTTTCCAATTCAGGATAAACAACATAAGTTATTTCATGGTTATTGAGTAATAACAATGTGTATTGTAAAGAAAATTAAACAAGACAAAGAAGTCCAAAGTCATATAATAGAATGAATTTCAATAACAACAAATGGCATACCAATAATAAAGGTAATTGAAATGTCAAGGAAAAAGGGATTAGAAAGAGGATAATACAAATAAAAACAAGGTAAATACAATAATAATAAAGATTATACAAATAACAAATATAAATGATATACAAAGAAGAATAAAAAGAATAAGAAGTGAAATAGAAAAAGGAGAATATTCAGAAATACTTAAAAGGTAAGAAAATAAAAGAAAAAGATGGTATGATATTCTTCAAGAAGTATATTCAAACAAAAAGAATAAGATAAATGAAAGAATCAAAGAAGAAATTAAAGAAATGAAGCAGAAATTAAAAATGAACAAAGAAACAGAAGATTTAAAAGTGCAAAAATAATAAATAACAAAGAAAACAAAAGAAATAATAAAAAAAAAATCAATTATTAGATATATCCATTATTTGATTTTATGATTATTGAGAAGTGATTATTTCAGTTTCTTCAATATGCTCTATTGGTGTAATAGAGTTCATTTCTAACATACTCGCATTAGATTGTTCTTCTTCTAATGTGCTGTCAGAATTGAATGTGTAAAACATTAAGTCTTTCATATTTTTGATAATTATTGTTTGTATGATTGTGGAAAAGTCTAATTGTAATTTTAGTGATTTTAATCTTCTTACTGACTCTTTGTGAATTAATCAATTTATTGATAATATAACAGGTATTATTTCAACATATATTATTTCTCTATTATTTCTTATTTTCTCTTGTAATTCTTTGTATTTATTTATTTTATGAATATAATTTAATTCTAAATTATTATCTTGACATATAACAACATCTATAATATATCCTTTCTTTTCTTTCATATTTTGATAATATATATCTGGTCTTCTATCATGGAAAGAATGGTCACTAACCAATAAATCTTTATTGTAAGTTATAACCATTTTATCATTATTTATACATTTTGGAGGATTATTAAAATCAATTGAATTAAAATTCATTAAAATGGGTAATTAATATATGTTTATATATTTGTTTACATACATAATCATGTTTTAATATTTGATTCTTCTTCATTACATCATAACAATATATGACTAATAGATGCTATTGTGTTATGGCAATGTTTACAATATTTTAAAGCATCATTTTGGAGTATTTTTGCTTTAATACTTCCTGTCATAGTTACTCATTCTTGTATCTTTACTATTTGGAGAAATGCATTTCTTTTTATATTTAATGACCTCCATATGGTTACTGTTAATTTCTTATCATTGAAAGTGCCATTTGCACATCTTATATATTCACCACATTTCTTTTCTTTCCATTCATTTAAATATCTTTCATTTAATTCATTATTTACCCATTCAATTACATTCTTTACATCATATTTTCTTTCATTTAATTCTATTATATTCATTAATTCATTAAAATTAATCTTCTTACCAAATGTTTTCTTCATTCTTTTAATTATTCCATTTGGATTTTCTTTTATTGTTTCTATCATTTCTCCTATTTCTGTGCTTGATCTCCACTTATATTTTAAATATATTCTTAGTAATTCTTTAGCACATTCATCTCTTGCTGACATTAATCCTAATCCTATTTCATTTATTTTAACATATAATCTACTTTTGGGTATATTTCTACTATATAATTGGAGTTGTATTAATAATTTTCTTATTTGTTTATCTATATTCTCCAACTCTCCTAGTTTCCATGTGACAATACAAAATCCATATCTTAATTTGGAGATTATATCACTATTAATCTTTCTTATTGTATTGAGAGTGTTATATTTCATAGTGTTTAATGATGATAAAATAGAAGACACATCATTTAATATTCTTGTACAATATTTATTAATATTTACTTTATCTCCTATTTCAATACCAAGGTATTTATAAGGGTTATCATTAGTTACTCTTGGTAATTCAGCTAATTCACCATTTATTTGACTATTAATATTAGTCATTATCCCACTCTTTTCTACATTAATTTTTAATCCTATTGCATTAAATATTTCTTTAGTTAATTTGTGGGCTTTTTCCATTTCATCGAGGCTATTAGTCATTATTTTTAAATCATCCATATACAATATGTGGTTTAATATCACTTGTTTTTTTCTCTATTCATTTTAATATTTAATTTGTTAATTTGTTTATCTAATTGTTTAGATATTACATCAATAGATAATACAAATAAAAGTGGAGATAAACTATCACCTTGAAATGGCATGTTTTGTAAACAAGACAAAAATAAAAAAAAATAATTTATTCAGTGAATCTCTTTTGATAAGGTTCTGGTCCAATGAATTTAGGGAAATCAGTTTGGTCCTTTGTAGATGAGTCAATGTACTGATAATCAAATCCTTTTTCTTTATTAGCTAAATAAGAACGATCATCCCAGGTGATGTCAAAATGAATTACATCAAAGAATCCTCTGTATTTTTGATTTCTTTCGATGTAACTATAAGGCCAAATATGGAATCCACAATAATCTTCATTATTTTGTAATAAATCCATATATTCTCTTGCTGGCATAAATAAGAATTCAACATAATCAAATGGAACATCATTAGCACAAAATTCTT